TTCTTTGGAATGGGAACAAATATAGATCTCTTCCAGTCAGTTGGCCAAGTGGTTGTTCTCCAGATTTCTTGGCACAACTTGGTGAGCACATCCAGGGCAAAATCTGTTAGCTGAAATATGTCAATTGGTATACCATCTATTCCGGGGGCCTTATTTTTTGCCATTTCCTTCAAAGCAGCTTGAACTTAGAGAGATGATATAGATTTAGATATAAAATTGAGTTTTGGTATGAAGTTATTAGTTTTCCTTGTGAATGAACTACATCATTCTAAAAATTCCCATGTTACATATGACCTTATCTCTTATTTACAATGTATTTCTCACAATGATGTCAGTTTAAAGATAAAGGTGAATCTGATTCAAGTCTTGGTCTTTTAATTACTTGCTATGCATATGAAAGTTGGAAAGTGAATAAAAAAGACAGAAAAAGAATTGATGCCTTTGTGTTGTGGTAATAGAGAGAAGTATTGAACATCTCATGAACTGCCTGAGAATAGTACTGTCCTAACGAAAGTGAAATCAGGGTGGTCCTTGGAGGCAAAAATGGCAAAACTTCTCACATTCTTAAGGCAAGTAATAAAGAGAATTCAGTCTTTGGAGAAGAGTTGGAGAGGTGGAGAATAACTATAAGAGAGGAAGACTTTCAGTGAGATGGTTTGACACAGTGTCTGTAACAATGGGCTCAAGTGTATTGGAGTTAGTGAGGATGGCACAGGAGAGGGCAAGATTGTTCATAGGGTCATTATTAGTCACAGTCAACTCAATGGCACATAACAACAACAACAACAATGTGATTTTTAAACCCTTATTGGCTTGGTGTTAAGTTGTTGGCTACTAATTCAAAGACATACGGTTTGAATTCACCAGTTGTACTGTGAGAGAATATGCACAAACTCCTCCAAGGTGATTAATTGCCTCTGAAAACCTACTGGAGGGTCAGCTATGGGTTGGTTTTTATTTAATGGCAATACAACAATAACAGCAACAATAACAGCTAGTGACATATAGATAGCCACACTCAAATTCTTACTAGGCCAAGATAATAGACTCTAAATAAAATGAAGTTTGCAGCTTATTTTTAAAAATTTAAAATATTTTTGATTAAAGGTTTTTTTTAAATCAACATCTTCTTTATTTCCCCCCCCCCAAATCCCATAGATCTGCTTTTTTGGTCTACAATTGTTTGCAATGGTGAGGGACGTCCATAGAAGATGAAGTAGGGAAAAGGAAACTAGCTTAATTATAAGATAGATATAGATGTTTTGTGATAGTTGGGCAGCAAGATATCCTTGACAATTATATTTTTTTTAATTTTTTTGATACCTAAATAAATCTCTTAAGAATTGTCCAATTTGAATTTAATTTACCAAATCTACTTTAGATAATTCTATCAAACTGTCCCAAGGAATTACATAAAATACATTCCATATTGAATAATTAATTATTTCCCCTTCTAAAGGGTGAAATCAAACCGCTTCCTCGAGGCAAGGATTTTGAAGCTCTCAGGTACTATGAGCATGTTGCCAGAAGTCACTAGTCCTTGGAGAGGGACATCATGCTTGAAGGGTGAAGGGATAGCACAGGAGGGAATGAGATGGAGTGACAAAATAATTGGGGTAGTAGGGGTAGGTATGACAGAGATGGTGAGATTGGCTCAGGATAGGACAGGGTTCAGAACTATTGTTCATAGGGTTACTATGAGTTGTAGGAGAATAAACGACAAACAATAACAACAGCTTTGCTTACCTGTATGTGTGGCTTGTCCTTCAAAATCCTCTTCAAAACTTTGGCTTTTCGCTTCTTCCATTGGATCCATGTGGACTGGATTTTATATAATCTATAGGGTGAACAAAGATGTAACTATGACTGATGAATTCCAAAATATCTGTTCTCTATCTGCACATGATTGAGATCTCATGTAAAGATGACTATACTTATAAATTTGCATAATATTTAATTTGTCTTTAAATTTTTTTTTAGTTTAAGTCTGTGTCCTTAGTAAGCTTTTATTATAGATTTTTATTTTAATTTTTGGTTTTGTTATTGATGTTTACAAAGTTAATTCTAGACATTTCATAGTCTATAGGAAAATTTTACTTCCATGTGCTATTAATGATATTGTTTGGTAATTCCTA